GATCTACAAGGTCCCTTCTGACCCTACTTCTATGATTCAGTATGGTAGATGCCTGTTTAAAGTTACTAAGATATGATTAATACATCCACTGAATTTCTTAAAGGATATTGACATGAAATGTTTGTTTATTCAAAGGCCCTTCATGCTGAATCAAAACAAGCAAAAACATGCAATATATTCACTGTAACCCAAATAGAGTTGAGGAAGGAAATTCCCATTCATGGATCTAGGATTTAATAACATATAGTGAAATATAGACAGACTATATTTGTGTTTTAAAACCTGTGATGCCTAACAGTGCTAATGGGACGTTCTGATCTGGGAGCACATCCTTGGAGCTGACAGTAATGCTGGTGCTGTAGATACACAAGATGTTCAGCAGAGACTGTGGGTACAGCATGATGAGTCATTAGACACTGAGAGAGACTGACAGCTTTGTGGGGACAAATTTAAGTGAACTTTTTAAAAACAAAGATTTTTTATTCCTGTTTAACTCATAGCTGCAAAATAAAGGGATTTGACACATCTAACTATCATGGTCTTAACATGGTTCATACTTATGATGCAAATTGTGATTCTCCAATTTTTTTTCAAATAAGCCTGAATTGGCTAAATTGGCTGAGTGGGTAATGTATACCATCGGACTCCAGAAAGAAGGGAAGCAGAAGCCATGAGTTAATAACTTGGATCCCTATGGGACTTATTCATAAAGCTCCACTGGCTTTTTATGGGTGCTGAGCAGCAATCTAAGTGAGAGCACTCAGGGCTCTAGCCAAAGTGAGCTGCAACCCTAGGAGCCCAGTTACCGGGGTGGGGTGCAAAAATAGCAGCTGCTGCACCTGCTGGCTGCCACTGTCACCAGCAACCCAGCAGCTACTGTTGCCCCATGTGCCACTGATGCCCAGGGCACAGAGATGCCCTGTTAAACCTCTAGTGCTGACTCAAAGTGGGGGCTAATCCCCAAAATGGAATAGGAAGGTGGTGATAATCGTTTTGGACTGGGGAACATGCAAAGAATGTAGGAGCACAAGTCTCAGCTACAGCACTTCAAAAACAGCTTTACACAGCAAGTTTCAGTGTGATACAGAAACTGCCTTTTAATGTATGTACTGGGCAAGAGTAGAGTGTACTGCTTTGTTGTACAACATATGGAGTTTCCAGAAATGATTATAGCAACCATAGGCAGAGATAGAAATATACTCTGCAATTGCAGTTTTAATTAGGCAGAAATGTCATTGATCCATAAACTAAGAGTGTGCAGCAGTAACTTCAGAAGTATTAAGTTGATATATGATGATGATATCTCTAAGAAGCTTCATCAGAGAATTTCTTGTCATATGTGGCATTCTCATAAATAGTGATGGGTTCACTGACATTATTGCTACCACTCTTCCAGGAAGATGCTAATTCCCACCCCCAGCAAATAGCTTTGAAATGTAATAACACAAAAACAGACACTGCCTCACAAGACCCTAATAAATATCATAGTATCTGAAATGTAAGAATCACACCTATAGTAAGAAGTGGTGCTGGGGTTGTGGGATCTATTTTGATTTTGGAAAGAGAGAGTCCATAATCCGCTCAGTATTTGACAGACATATTTCACATATAGGATTACTAATATCCATCCTCACCTGGAAGACCTTGAACTTCTAGAATAATTGCATTTAAAATGGTATACAGTGTGTTTACATTGCTTTACCTTTCCTTCAGCCATTATTCAGTGCCCTGTTACAAGTATAGCTTCTGTATGATAGAATTAAATATATACCAGATATAACTATCAAACAGGTGCCTATGCATATTTGGAGTTGGAAAGACTAATTTTGAGCAACTCACTGGAAAAAAGGTGTCTGCAAACGCACCTAAATTTCCAGTTTCATAAAATATGTGATTTATTAGAGCTGCAAGGTCAGCTCTCACTAAGATCATTTGCAATGAGCTATTTTGCTGTTTCTGAGGCAACTTATTGTCTTTGCAGCATAGGAATTACTGTGGCTACCAGTGTTTGTTCTTTTATTCTGTCTAATTGGGAAGCTCTTCCTGAGGTGCTTCCTTGTCAAATGCACTTATCCCATGCTGAAGAAACTATAGCAAGTATTTTAATCTCATCCCCCTCCACAGCCCTTTTACTTTCTATTTACAAAAAGCTAGATGTGAATACCTGCTTATTTACTGGCAGATAATTAAATTTGATTTTCTTTCTCTAATGTTATCTGTCATTGGAGTCTTTCTGTCAAGAAAAGTGTGAATAAATTGCAAGAGACATGTAAATGGCTTGAGCAAATGGTGCTGGATACTGGCAATAGGATGAAAATCTCTAGGCATAGCAAAATAGTATCTACAAGGAATATATCAATGTAAGTGACCACATGATTCTTTGGCAAATAAGTATTTTGGTCCATGCAATCTTAAATGACTTTGAACCTTCCTAGGTGAGGGATCTGTTCTTTCTTTGTGCCACTTCTACAGGCAGAGTTACTGGAGCTTAATAGGTCTTGATTGAAAAGAAAGGACCCTTCAGCTCTCAAACAATTTCCCCTTCCCCCCCACTTTCTTTGGTTCAAAATATCCTGGGCAACATTCAGAGTATACAGCAAAATACATGTATTTGTGCAACCTTTTGCACAACGTGAAGAGAGGCAAGGAGCTTGTATTTCATAGGGGCTGGAGATCTGTTGCCTGTTGATAAAGAAGCAAATTGTTATTTATGTTCATTGTTCTTAGAACTGGTGGCAGGGGCGCCAACAGCTTTAGATAACAACCTTTTTGTTTTGTATAAATGCCAAGCAGAAAATAAATCAATATTGATCTTGAGGGTAGCACATTTTCCCCTCAGAGATCAAACGTATGGGGGGGGAGGGGGGAAATGTACTGTGCTTTTGCTACTGCAAGAAGCTTTAATTCCAATCACTGAGTAGCAGAGACAAGCAGGAGGTTTTAAACTAGAGTCCAACCAGAAGCTGGCAAAAGAAAAAAGTTTTTCAACCATGTGTATGCCAAGTTCCTTAAAATATAAGGTGCATTTATTCCTTAGCCTAATTATTCTGTTTCTGCTAAGTTTCCATGCAGAGCCTTCCAGTAGTTTGGTATCCTTCTGCGTGGGCATTCATGACATGAAAGAAAATATTTGGTCTACCTTTAAGTTATGCAAAGAAGCAGCAGTAATGGAGATGAACTTAATAAAGGCCCCACAGATTCAGAGAAAAATACCTCCCAGAATCCCCCCCTATATCACCACCATCATCGTCACTGTCACCATCGCCAATTTCAGGTTGCAGATGGAGCATGCAATGGTTACTCAGCTCCAAGGCTAAGTACAGAAAGTCAACAAGCCTGAGGTAGAATTGATTCAGTCTATGCAGCTTTATCTAAGCTGTGTAGATTGACCTGTTAATGAACAGAATACACGGTCACTCATGAGTTGGCCAAGGCAGGCAGATGCCTGCGTTGGCCAAGGGGGAATTCTTGTGCACACCTCTCCGCTCTGCCAGGCTTTGAACACTCCCTTGCCAGCCCCTCTCCTGCCAGCTGTTGGGCGGGAGTGGAGGAGTGTTGGCAGGGGGAAGGAAT